CGGATCCCTTGAGTCCAGGAGTACGAGGCCAGACTGGACAACATGGGGAAATCCATCTCTAAAAAAATACAAAAATTGGCCAGGCGCGGTGGCTCACACCTGTAATCCCAGCACTTTGAGAGGCCGAGGTGGGTGGATCATGAGGTCAGGAGATCGAGACCATCCTGGCTAACACGGTGAAGCCCTGTCTCTACTAAAAATACAAAAAATTAGCTGGGCGTGGTGGTGGGTGCCTATAGTACCAGCTAATCCGGAGGCTGAGGCAGGAGAATGGCGTGAACCCAGGAGACGGAGCTTGCAGTGAGCCAAGATTGCACCATTGCACTCCAGCCTGGGTGACACAGCGAGACTCTGTCTCTCTCTCTTTCTATATATATATATATTTTTTTTTTCATATTTTTGAATTTTTGGTGGTACATGCCTGTAGTCCTAGCTACTTGGGAGGCTCAGGTGGGAGGATCATTTGAGTCCAGGAGGTGGAGGTTGCAGTGAGCCAATATTGCACCACCACACTCTAGCATGGGCAATAGACAGAGTAAGTTCCTGTCTCAAATAATAATAATAATAATAAAATAAAAATGTAAACTAACAAACTTTCAAAATAATATCCTCCTTCAAGTCATCATATATTAAACTGGATGCTGTACAAATCAAGTAGCCAATTAATGGACTTGGAAATATTGCCCTTTGTTTTACTGGGTCAATGTGCATTTACATTTGCTCAGGTATAGTTAGTTTTCAAGCGTTAATGCCTCTGAGGAAGGAAGGCTAAGAACAGTACATTCCAATACGTTCCAAAGATATGCTAGGAAAAAGACTGTAGGCACCGAAAGTCTCAGTCCAAGGCTGTTGTCTGCTTACCCTCCAGACTAAGCAAAACGTATGGCAAAGAGAGAGTATTTAAATCTCATTTGTTACATGTATGAGTGAAATGATAAATGACCCAAAAGAGCATCTAATGTATAGTGGCTACCAAAAGGCAACAACTAAAAAGAATGAATGCCAACTAATAAATTATGGCTCTAAGGCTCCAAAATCCATTAGCTCTAAGTCTGGATAAGTTACTAGATTTTTATGTACATTTATTTCCTTAAAATTAAAGCTGAGGTAATAAATATAGAATCATAGAATTGTCTACGCTCTGACAAAAAGTTACTTCAAATCCCTAGGTAGACACATAGGCTCTTTAGGTCTGTGTTCCCTATCTGCTAAATAACAAGCTTTGACTAGATTATATGGATATCTACTCCATCTAGTTAAGGGTCTATAATTGTAGAACAGCTGCAGTGAGAAAATAGATGAAAAAAATGCTTTGAAAAAAAACTTAAAAGTGTTATACATATGTTCGATATAGGTGGAAAAAGCCAATAAGGGAAAGATAACATCTGGTCAAAAGATTCTAAAATTATCCATCATTCTTCTGAACTATTCATGCCTTTTAAGGATCTCCTTTCTTTGGAGCTGCCTATCATTTGCGTACCATATCAAAAGCATTCTTATAGAATACACTGTAATATTGGTCACCAACCTCAAAAAGTCACTTTCTATATTTGTAGCTAATAGATATATAGCAAAGAGCCGCATGTCATTAACGATAACTTAAGTCATCTTTCAGTCCACAGTTTTCTGTGGTTTAATAATGGCATCACACACTAATTCTTCTTTCAGGAGTGACCTTTACAACACCATTAATCCTCACAGCTTTTATCCAACTACATTATTACTCATTAAAGTTTCAGCTTTCAACATCTGCATTCGTTGAAAAGAGAAAAGTAAATTGCAGTGGACTTAAATCCTTGGAAATTATGAGGGATGTGTATGTGGTGAAGGGACTTTTCAGGAAAAAAAAGAGATGTTTTAGTAGTGGGGAAAGTCATGATAAATGACACTTAGTATGTTCTTGCCTTTCTAAAATACTTTGCCATACTTAATCCTTGGGAATGCTAAAGAAAAAATATTCATACGTGCTACAAATAAAAACATATTAGTTATTCTACTAGTCACATATTCCAGTTCTAACAACATTGCAAAAGTTGCTCATGTACTAACACTATGACATTTATAAGTTTACATGTATATTAGGATAGTGAATGATTCTTGCCAAATAAAATATTTTTTCTTTTACATAGTACATAAAAGTAAATCTAATCTTGGAGCTCATTTAGGATGCTGAGCAGAGTAACTGGAGTTAGACCATAAGATGAAAAAGCACACATGTGTCTGAAACCTTTTTCAAACTTCTCAAAACTTCAGTTTTTACTGTTGTTCTTTTCACTGTGGCCCCACTGCCCAGATTGAATTCCTCTTAACAAATAATCTGGAATTCTACTTTGTGGAGATTAAAGCATTTGATACACACTCCTTCAGCCTTCATTCTGATCATTCCAAAATTTCTCTGAAATTTTACCATTTATCTCTTCCTTTCCTTCATTCTCAGGAAGAAGAAAAGTTTTTCTCCTTTACAAGGGTTAATCCCTTCCCATCACTTTTCATACCTATACATGTCTTTTGCACTTTTTCATATCTATACATGGCTTTAACTCTTCTTCCTCTCCCCTCTTGAAGCGTAATATACATATTCCTATTTTAAAACCTGTCTCTACTTAGCATTCTCAAAGTATTATCACTTTCCAACACCAACTTAGAAAGAGATGAGTTTGTGTCTCCAAATTAACTTTCTTTCCTCATAGTCGTCTGCTCTGTATAACTGGAAATCTATTCAAACCGTTCTATTAAAATTTCTGTCAGTCTACCTGTCCATGAGCTCCAACCAAATCCTAAGGCTCTTATTCTTCATGTTCTTTAATTGTCCTGCAGAAGTTGCACCATTAAATAATCCCTTTTTTTTGAAACTTAGTTTTCCTAGGCTAGCATGACATTACCCTATCTTCACTCTTATTCTAAAATACCCACTTGCTCTTTACTCTTATTCTCAGACACTCAACTTACTCGTCATCAGTTTTGCATCTAAAAAAAGTATAGTTGTTCTAAAATACGTCCAAAGATACTTTAACACTCTCTACTTCAGTTGGAGCCTAGTTCTCCTTGCCTTGAGTTGGGCTGGATTTAATGATTCTCTTATAAGAAACAGAATAAAGCAGAATTGCCTCTGGATGAACTTGGAGAACAGGTTATAAAAGCCACTGTGCCTTTCTCTTTGTTATTCTCTTGGATCACTCACTCAGGAAGGTCCACTGTCATGCTACGAGCAGCCCTAGGTACAGGCCTAATGTGGCAAGGAACAGAGACCTCCAGAAAACAGATAATAATAAATGTTAAACAATAAATAATAATAAATTAGACAATAAATATTGGTTGTTTTCTGCTGCTAAGTTTTAGGTTAATTTGTTACACAGCAATAAATATTAGTTATCTATATTATAATATTAATATCAGTTATCTATCTATTAGTATCTAATGCAATACCAGCTGCTAAGTTTTAGGTTAATTTGTTACATAGCAATAAATATTAGTTAGCTATATTATAATATTCATATTAGTTATCTATTAGTATCTAATGCAATACCTACGATTCTTCACTCCACTTCTTTTCTTACCACACACAGCCTTTTTTGATGGACTTATTTGTTCTCCTGTGTTCAACCACCTCATCAAGGAATAATTTCCGTATCTAAAATTCTGGCACCTCTTTTACCTATGAGGCTTATATTTCCAGCTTCTTCCTGAACATCTCTACCTAAATAGTTCCTTGTGCTTCAAATTCAACATATATTACATGTTTATGTCTTCTCCCAAACCTGCTCCAATTCTGGGCTCCCCTTTAATTGTTAATAGAGGCATAATAATCCTTGTTATTTCATAAATTCAAAATTCTAGTTTCCTCTGTCTACAACTTGACCTTTACCAGATATATTCTATTGTGACTGAATTATGTCAATTCTTCCTTAATTAATATCTTTTTAATTAATTCTCTCCTTTATCACTGTTTATTTCTATCTCATGTAACTTATTCTTGCCCTACACCTAAACAATGGTTTCCTGAATTCCAACATCATTCTGCCATCTCATCCTTTCAGCTTTGGCTGTGATCACTTTCCACCACACATTTTTTCTACAGTCTAGACAAATCAGTGCATTTCTTAAAAATATGCTATTTCACTTTGTGATTTTTTTCTTACTATCTAGAATGCCTAGGGATCTATCTCTTCTTCAAGGCTCAGTTTGAATTAGGATATATCTAACTCATACTCTTCTGTAGTCCTTCCCAGACAGAATCCAACAGTCTCCTCTCTTTGTAGAATTTTATATGTGCTCTGCAATAGCACTTATTACAGCTGACTTATACCATAGAATGAATGACTTTCCTTTAGCTAAACCATGAGCTCCTTGAGGGCTGGCCTCCTTAAAAATTGAATAAAAATAATAAAAATATCAATAAATCTGTGTTGAAATCAGTATATACAGTCTGATTTATGTATGCTGAAATTAAAATCATTGAATTTTTCAAAGTCAGCTTATAAAAGTGTTTTCTACTATTTTGTTTACTCTACTGAATTTACAATTATATAGAATTGAAGCTATCCACTCTTTATAATACTTTGGTGTTTGCAAATAATCCTCAAGCAGAATGAAAGTGAACAAACTTCACATCCTTATGGCTGACTGATGATAGAGGCAAAATGCATTTCATCACAATGTAACTTTGTGCAATTCACACAAAAAATGGAAATTTCAATGATGTAAAAGGTAAGTCACCTAATAATAACATTCTGGAACCATCACTGCTCACTGCAATTAGTCATTTAGTCTTCTTTTTCTGTTGTATGCACATAGTTAGAAATATAGATATAACCTACACAATTAGATTTTCAGGAGGGCATTATAACTTAGACTTTAGTGTGAAATTTCATTTGCATGTTTAAAACGGACCTAGGTGAACTCAAGCCGTGTATAGAATGTGTGTGATGTGCCATTTAAAGATGATTCCATTCAATAGCCATAAACAGAAAATCAGCAAGAACAAAAGAAACAGAACTTACCTATTGTGCTAACTCTGGCTGAAGGGCTAGCTAACGCTGCTGGGACAGAGGCTTTGAGGGGGCCTGCCCCACTGTTTATTCTCAGAGCTGGCATATGGGGAGAGGTGGGTGATGTGGGTGATTTGCCATCAGAGGTCTTGGGTTTAGCTGATAGGTTCAGTGGCTGTGCCACTTCATCCTGCAATGATCATTAGAACATGAGCTGTGATAAGGAAAGGCTGATCAAAAATGCCTAGAAAAACACAGGTATGCAGCCTGTCATTTCCCATCAAATTACTCTACCAATCAGTGATCTTAACATTCATTCTGAACATTACAGTATTTGGTTAGCTGCCAACATAATGTCTCCTTCAACTACACATTCCAAATACCTTTCGTATAAGAGAAAATACATGTGTACCCAACTATCCACAGAAAGCAGATAATTTTTATAACCTGTAAGAAATATTCTTAAAAAGCTACTCTTGGTACTATATTCATTTGTATTGAGAGATATTACACATTAGATTTGAAATATGATGTAGGTAGGTTTTTTTTTTTTTAAATCTCCAAAGAAAAGGGGTTGGATCTGATGCATGTTTGTACCCTGGTGCCTAGGCAGAGCACCTGGAACACCCACAATGGAGGACCACAGATAGTTGTGTGACTCCGATCAGAACTGCTCTCCAAATTCAACACACACACAAGAAACTTTCTAACTTTCTTAGAAAATAATCCTTTCTCCCTAGGTTTTGCAGAAACACCTTTGAAGTTGATCTAAAAATGAAAATAAACATAATAACATAACCCTAATATGTACAACTTATTTATATGTCATACTGTTCTAAACACTAAACAAACACCATGTTTTCAAAATCCAGATTTGTTTTCCAGGTTTTTCTTTTAGTATACTATATGTGTCATGAAGATCATGTGATCAGTTCAGCATGGTTGATGATTTCCAGCTGTTCTATGGTTTAACAGGTCAAAACACAGTTTATACTCAATTTTAAATCGTTCTTAGGTAATTTCATACATGAGACTTATGGATACAGTATCATTAAAATTTATATCACATCATATATGAATATAAGAATGAGATAATATTAACATTATATAACTTTTTAAATTGGAAATTGAAAAGGTTACTTTATTCCTTTCCTGTGCTCTAAAATTGGAATATCATGCCACTTGTTTATATATCAATGTTTACAATATATACAATTTTACATTAATATTATTGTAGAATAAAAACTTAGTTTCCACTTAGCTATTTCATGAGTTAAGAACATAAAATATTTACCAATAACAGGATGATCTGTTGAAAGTAGAAAAATTTTTAATCAAATGGGGTAGTCATGTGACATTAAAGTGTATGTTAATTACTGTATACAAAAGTTTAATGCACAGTTTTACCAAAAGAACCACTGAAATAAATCACTTTACAAAATGGTTAAATGGTAAAATATGACATCAATTTCAAGTTATATATATATATATATAAAAATATATTTTTTATATATATTAAAAAATATATTTTTTATATATATATAAAATATATTGCCCAGGCTGGAGTGCAGTGGTGCAATCTTGGTTCATTGTGATCTCCACCTCCCAGTTCAAGTGATTCTCCTGCCTCAGCCTCCTGAGTAGCTGGGACTACAGGTGCACACCACCACATCTGGCTAATTTTTGTATTTTTAGTAGAGACGGGGTTTCACCATGTTGGCCAGGCTAGTCTCGAACTCCTGACCTCAAGTGATCTGCCTGCCTTGGCCTCCCAAAGTGCTGGGATTACAGGCGTGAGCCATGGCGCCTGGCTTCAAGTCTATATTTTTAAGTGGTTTAATATTATTAGATTATTATTTGATTCTGTGGTTATGTGCACTTAAGAATCCCATGAACAGACTAGGAAAAAAATTACTCTTGTAATACATCTTATTTCAGTTTATATTGTTTGTTTCAGTAAAATAAATTTTGAAAATTCATGAGATAATTCAAATTAGCAATCTTCTATGATGTCAGATACGTAAGAAATTAAAGATGATTATACCAAATCTATATTGATTCATAGGATCTTGACAGGAAGTAAAATAATTCCATGATTGATGCAACATATAATTTGGAGAAGTTTACTTTAGCATTTTAAAAACTACAGGGGCAATGGCCGGGTGCAGTGGCTCACACCTGTAATCCCAGGACTTTGAGAGGCCGAGGCGGGCAGATCACAAGGTCAGGAGATCGAGACTATCCTGGCCAACATGGTGAAACCTTGTCTCTACTAAAAATACAAAAAGTTAGCTGAGCATGGTAGCACGCACCTGTGGTCCCAGCTACTCAGGAGGCTGAGGCAGGAAAATCACTTGAACTGGAGAGGCTGAGGCTGCAGTGAGTGAGATCGTGCCACTGCACTGCAGCCTGGGCAATAGAGTGAGACTGTGTCAGGGAAAAAAAAAAAAAAAAAGCTATAGGGGCAATATTATCCCTAAATTGTTCAATCTGAAACATGGACCTGTTCAACCATAATCTCTATATATGATGTCTTATTTGGCAGCAGTATGGAAGTATTGTATCCTCACATTTTAATCTAGTATGAATGAATACTTCTCAGAATGTGGTTCACAGACTAGCACCATAAGCACACGTGGGAACTTGTTAGAAAGGCAAATTCTCTATCATAGAATCTAAGAGGATGGTTCCAACAACCTGTGTTTAACAATTATTCATTCCCAGGGGATTCTGATGTACACTTAAGCGTAAGAGCCACTGCTTCATATATTAATAATATAAAGGGAGACTATTGAAAAAGTTTTATTAGACTTTCAAATCCTTTAAAAAGCTTCTTCTGTATAAGAAGTTAACATTAAAAATATGTAATATTACCTCAGTGTTTAAAATACAATTGGGACATATCATATGCTAATAGTGGAAACATTCATACGCATAATAAATTGAATGTTACTGAGATTCCATGGGACAATAAAGATTAGAATCCAGATCTACTCTTGGTCAGTTAAGCCTAAATATCCTGACTGTCAGGGACTTTACTATTTACTACCCAGCTGTAAATATTCCAGGCTCTGTTTTCCCCTAGCAATGTGGTGCCTGTTTACTGCCTTCTGTGTGAAACTGACTTCTGACATGACGCCTTTAGAACTTCTTTTTGACATCATCATAACTCTTGCAAAAGTTTCGGGAGATACTTGGATCAAAGATGGCTGTTTTACTTGAATGTGAAGAAAAGAAAAAGAAACAAAACAAAAAAGCAAAACAAAGCAAAGCAAAGAGAAGGACTGTATTCCCAGAGTTGGAACAGGGAAGACTTTTATGAGCAGAGAGGAAACACAGTGTGAGTGTATAGTGAGGGGGGAATGGTAGTATTGATGAAGATGATGTGGATGTGGGTGCTGATGGGATGAAGTTTCATATGTCTTAGCTTTAAGCACTAATAACTATTATTTGCCCATGCTGAAAGATAACTATTCAAAACATTTATTAGAGCAAGAGACCCACTGAAAACTCTTAGTATGCACCTCCATTCAAGGCAGCACAGATGTCTGAAAGCCAAAAAGTGCAAGGCCCCAAGGACATAATAGAGGTTGACAGTTCCAAAGTTGATATAAATGTCATTCAAAATTGCCCTTTCCTTCTCTTCCATTGTGTGACCAGGCTAATGGTATATTAATAAGAACTCACATTCTTGATCTTTATATTGGTAACTGTATAAATAATTTTGACCCATTATATGGTATTATTTCACAATTTTGTTCTTTTAATAATTTACTACTGAGCTGCTATACCAAATGCCTATTATTTATGAAGAATACAAAAATTACACCAGTTTCCCATTTTATATTAATTATTTTTCATTTGACTAGATGAAAATTTTAAAATCTTAACTATAAAATGGACATGGACAATTTATTTCTGGAATGCATTCTTATAATATGAATATGTGCAATAAAAGCTGAAGGTAAGACTTCTCTTTGTTTTTTACTTGTAATCTTATGTTGGAGAAATTCGAAAGCTTAACATGATTAACCCCTATTGTTACAAATAAAACACACATTTAAACATGTTAAATAAATTACTTCTGAATAAAAGGATGTAATTTTCAAGGTCAAAAATAATTGAAAAAGATACTATTTCTATCAACTACACCATCAAGCAGTGAGCAAAGCAATTTCCTGTTAATTACTTGCCTAATAGTTAAATGAGGTTGCCAATTGGAACTTTTGAAAATAACATATTTCATAATTATTTCATTTATACACAAAGTAAGAGTTAAGAATTTAGTTATCTGCCTAGTAGCTCCAAACTTGTATATCATAAATATAAAGAAAGCATTTATGTTTAAGTAAATGTGTAAGTTAAACAAATTTTAACTAGTAGAAGGCTATAATTTACATTTATAGGGTTCATTATAAATATTCCAAAGAATTTATTTAAACTTCACGACTATGAAGTAATTACTAATCTTGTGGAGGACAGTAAGGCTTAGAAAGTTCTAATGAAACCCAGGTTTTTGGACTCAACATACAATACTCTTTTAATTTCTGTGACAAATTTAATCTTAAATTTAAAAGGGTGTTGATGGAATGTAACTTCTGAAATTCAGTCCTAGCTATATAATTCTGCTACACAATAACCGCATGAAAAATAACATATCTGCAATAAAATGATGTAATACAAACATTTGCCATTTTATACATAAAAATGTTAAAGCACAAATTTACTTGTCTTGGTGACTTGTTTTGTGCTTCTCTGTCCTCTACGCTATGTAGCACTGGAAATTTCCTTTAATACTAAAGAGTGGTTTGGACTATTCTTTTAGAAAAATCTCAAGAGTTCATGTATACATGATACAAGAAAATAATATTTTATATAACCAAACACAAGTTTTAGAAGCTCACTCATGATATAACTTCTTCTAATCAATTACTAGACTAATCTTAGTTTTCTGGGATAGAAGGCAAAGTAAGTAAAATCCAAATAAACATATAGGTCTGGGATGTTCCATTTACATAATTACAGCTACGATAACTTATCTGAAAGCTAACATCTCAATACCAGTTTGTGGTCACAGTAGTAGAAATACTATAGAGGCCTTAATCACTTAATCCCAGCCAATGACAATTTGCCACACAGATGAAAATAAATTGCATAAAGAATGTGGAACAAATATGTAGCCTTACATGC